GGTTCAAATCATGATATATGTAAATACTTCAATATATTTAATGAAATGGAGATAACTCTACTAATAATTGGAAGACAGAATAATAAGACCTTATTTTTTCCATTAAAAATTTATTTTTACAATAAATTATTAAAAGATTAAACTGACATAACAAATGAATTAAAAGTACAGTTAAACGAATAAATTATAATCAAGGGACCCATTTTAAAGGGATAGTATACAGGATGAACCTTCACCAGCCAACCACAACTACAAGTATGTCCACAAAAGATCATAGCCCTCCATTGTCTCCTATTGTTTTTTTTTATAAACTCAATTCTAATCTATTTAAAACCCCATGTGCTTTCTTCCATCAGAATGTAACAAGAGATTCAGTTTGGACTTAATTTGTTTAACACTGAATCTTTAGTCTCTTCTCTAAAACCCTGAATCATATCAGAGTTTGTCAAAGCAGCTAATTTATCAACTTGTCAAAAGTAATTCAGAATGAGCAAACTTGGTTTGGTTGTTCTGCTACTAGCTCAGGTCTTGGTACTTCAAGCCATGCCCCTTGAGTCTATGGCACCACTCTCAGGGATAAACCCTTTGGAGCATAAAACTCAAACAAGAGTTCAGCTTCATGATCAGATAACTGATGAAGTTGCAGAACATGCAGTTTCTGGAGCTACTGAATCATCATCAGAGGAAGACGGAGAATCTAAAGCAGCTGAGGCTCCACAGATTCGAAAGCTGAGAAAGCATCACTCAAATGACATGTCAGTAGCAGGTGGGGGTGTTATCATTGGTGGCCTTGTTACTGCTATCTCTGCAGCTGTTTTTTGTTACATTCGGGTTACCAGAAAAAGGGACAGTGGTTACTGATATATACTCTAGTTCAATCCTTTTGTTCTTTTGATTTTATTTTTTATTTTTTTTCACTTTTAATTACAATTAGTGTAGGAAGTATAAACAGTGAGTGATATTGAAACATAGAAATTGATTAAAATTGCTGCAACAGATATTCGTATGATATTGTTTATATTGTCATGTATTGTGAATATAAGAAACAGATTATAACTTCTGTAAGAATATGAGTTCCTTCATCTTCTGTTCTGTTTTTTTTTTTTTTTTCACTTTTCATTTATTTCAGTGAGAAAGCTAAAAGGAGGGCGTTGTTGAGAACTGAGATTGGCTATTTGTTCAACACTCCTTGCGGTTTTCCTACTTTGTTTACAAGGAATAACCAATTCAAAGTGTGTACATTGAGCTCGAGAATCGAGATGATGCATTGATGTCTATAAAAATGAAATTTTTAAATGTTGCTTTATATTGTTAGGTAAATGGGGTGGTTTTACTTTTATAATCAACTTCAATGTTGTTGTATATGCGGTGGTGTTCATGTGGTATCTCCTAGTCATCCAATAGGATTCATGCTTTACATAAAGAAGAGAATAGTATCTGTGCTCGTTACGTGAAAAAGCTATTTACAGCAAAACTGAATTGAAAAAGAGAGAGAAAGAGAGGAAGCGCTTCTTCCTCTACAAGGTTTTGATGAATTGTTTTAGTTGTTCAAGATGCAGGGCAAGAATCCATTTCTACTTTCTAGCAAAGGTCGGTGATTTAGTGACCTTGTAGCTGGAGCGCATTTCTAGTTTGGTTTTTTGAACATTTCAATAGAAAACCTAAGTTTGACTCAAGTGGTATTATTAGTTTTGGGACCCTATCACGCTACTCGGATGAGTTATATTTATGGAGACCCATTTTCCCGTGGATACTTAACTCGTTTTAAAGAAATAATTAAAGTTGACAGGACACTAATAATTTAATTCATTTCAAAAAAATAATTATAGTGATGAGGTTTTAAAAAAAAAAAGAATAGATAAATAAAAGAAGAGGTATGTATACATTGCTTTTGAATCTGGAAAAGTTCTTAGTTTGCATAGTTTATTATACTAGTTTTTTTTTTTTTTTGATAACATATTATACTAGTTTTTACACGCTTGAATAATTATTTGACATGTAAAATTATTTTTAAAAATACAAATAATAATATAAGTGCTTATAATAAATCATCTCTAATTAAAATTTACTCATGAATTTTACTTAAAGTGTGACCCATTAGTTTTTTAATTTTTGAATTTTATAACCCGAATTATTCCTTTGAAACTAGTTAAATTTCTCGGATATCCCTACAATTTGAGCGGGGGAAAAAGCTCATCCAAGTATGAAACTGATTCAAAATCGAGAGTATAACAATTATTCAAATCTAGCCCGAAAGATTCTTTTCAAGATCTTAGCTCATACTCTTTTGACAATTTGTCTCTCCTAAAACTCATATTGTCACTTGAGTCAATCCCAAAAGTTACTAAAATGACTCACTTGTTGGCAGAAGCTGGGGTAATTGATTGTAGTTTTAATTTAATATGATTGAAAAAATTATATAAGTACATTTTGATAAACTTAAATATATATATATATATATATATATAGAGAGAGAGAGAAAAAAATATTTATCTTTTTAAATGACACAACTTATATCCTTTCACTCTCACAAAGAGGTGAGACCCATATCTTTATTTTTTTTGTTAACTCTCTCTCTCTTCCTTTATCTATCTCTTTCTCTCTCTTAAAATGACACAACTTTACATCTTTAAAATGACACACACTTCACCTATATATATTCAACATAATTCTGTTGCCCATAAAAGTCAAGCGGGTCATTTAGGCAAAAAATTCGTTATTCATAGGATCCAACCAAGATAAGGATATTGACAAATAAAACTACGTACACATATATTTATAGTTTTTACCATCTAAATACAATCAATTTTATCTCATTTTCTATACAACTATATTCTAATTTTGCCACCTTAGCAAATATGAGAGATGTAAGGTAACAGGGATGTGCAAGAAACAATATTCTAACTTTTTTTCTTTCTTTTGGTAGAACATTATTCCAACTTAACCCATGTAAAAGCTATAACCTCTGCTGCTTCATACACTGCTTCAGAGACGTGTATAATTTACAGACAACCAACTTTTCTACCGGTTAGGACTTGTTGAAGTCAATGATGCCAAATGAAGATATTGAAAATGATTGAGTTAAAGAATTTATGCACGGGGAGGTCGTTAGATATTGAAGTTCATGACATTTCAATTTCTGATAAATTTGTAATTCAGGGGATTTCTGGAGCTTTTGAGATGGCTGGGCCAGTGAGCTTTCTACTAAAGATGGTCAAATGTTGGCGAGATGTCCAGAAATATGTGCAGATTTGTTTCATTCGACGATTGTACATTGTGCACAATTATCATGAATGCATGATGCATTTTATGGTAAAAACTAGGCACCACTAAAGAGATAGTGCCAATTGCCAAGCATTAAGCCTACCTAGCCTTTGCCACTTCTAACATAAAAAAAAGTGCATCAAATAATGGATAGCTTACCCCACGCCAAACACACATGCATGCTGCAAGTTTTTGTCTACTAGAGCATATCAATGTGCAATCTCATCTCTCTCGAGAAAGACTTCCATCTTCCCAGTTCCAAAATGAAATCCAAAATAAAAATTGACACACAGATACAATACTCACGAAAGACAATGAACAACCGCAAAATAATACATCTAGAAATAGAGAAGGGTTATTTTGACAAACTTTTTTTTATAAACTTACAAACTATTCTATGTCTTACCGGTAAAACTTCACTCTTGAGTGTCTTACCGATAAGACATAGTATAATTTGTAAGGATTTGTAAATAAAAAATTTATAAATATAACATTTTTCCTAAAAATATTCCCATAAAATATGGACCCATGCACTTTGTGATTGGGGTTCCATCAAAAGAAAACCACACCTGTCAAGCTTATGTAAAAGACATGACATAATAGGAACGATTACTTGTAGATCTTTCGAATGATAGTACTTGCCTTTGCGCAAACGATCAGTCATGACCATATAAATCGTGTTAAAATGCTCAAGTATGATTAATTCATGAAGTCTTTCATATCATATAATGTATGAGAATTTTCCAATTACCAAATAAATAGTTATAAGTTTCTCAATATGATACGTTCAAGTTCAAACCAGTGTGTTCAAATATCCATAATGACATTTGGCTTAACTTGGTATTAATTCTTTAGAGTGCAACTGGAATAAGCTGAAAATATATTGATTGAATCACCATTCTAATCTAGTGATTCTAGTGTGCTCTCAGAATAGCATACGGAAGAAAAAGAAAAAGAAAAAAAAAACAGATGTCTTATACAACAACAAAAATCCATCCAATAAAAGAAGCTATGACTCACATAAACCAACAGGTCACAGTAGAGGCTCATAACTCACTTACAGAACAGGTACATTCAATGCATCTCTTAAACCAGTTGGGGACAATTTGTTGTGTCTAAATGAGCAGAGCAATAGAACTGGGTATGATGCACTAACCATTAGTATGCTACAACTATTGAAGGATGAAATAAAAAAGCACAGCAATAACAGTATCTAAATTTTTGTGTTAGATGAAGTTCCCTAATGCATACAATCAGAAGTTAATGTACAGAAACAATCTCAATCAGAACCAGTGATGGTTCTTATGATCAGCTGATGGCATAATAATAACCCAACCCACATAATCTTACAGACTTTCATCTATTCTACCACATCAAGAACAACTATACTACTTCAAGCAGATCCTACACATCACTGACATCCATGATCCTATATTACAAAAAAAAAAAAAAAAACAGTAGAAGTTTACACTTTACCTCAGTCCAATGATGAGTTATAGCATTCCTTCATTCATATAGCAAAACTTTTCCAACACTTTCAAGGGAAAAACAAATTAACATAACATAAAGCCAATGAAAATATTCACTAAAATTGTACCTCGTGCATGATTCATTTTAAAAACCATCAAAACACTCAACACATACATATAACTAGAAACACATATCCAAGACCACATGAAATCAAATAACAAATACACATAAATAAAGATAAAAAAAAATGAAAATTTAAGCAGCAATCAAGAAGAAGATTTTCTAGTTCTCATAAGAATACTGGTCATTCTCATTCCAATCAAAGTAACATTACTGGAGCTAACAAACCTAGAATTCCTAAACAAACTCACAACTTCCCTCACCTCATCAACCCCACACTCCTCAACAAGAACAAAGCACACGCCACCGGGCCTCGCCGCGCGTTCCATCTCCGACGCGAATCGCGCCGGGAACAGCGCCTGGTCGAAGCGCGCCGTGAACGCGAGATCGAACGCGCCGTCGAAGAAGGGCAGGTTGTGTGGATCGGCACGGCTGACGAGAGGCGGCGATTCCACGAGCTCGACGCCGGTGACATCCTCGACGCCGAGGCCGGAAATTGCGGCGACTTCGTGGCCGGCGCCGGCGGAGACGCAGAGAACCTTGGAATGGTTACGGAGAAGACCGAGATCGCGGATTGAGATGAAAATGTTGGAATAGGAATGGACCTTGCTGGTCCAGTCGCGCGTGGACCAGAGGCGCGTGTTCTTCTTCTCGGATGGGACGTGGAGGCGCGTGGAGAAGTCGCAGGTGGACTTGGGGAAGCGGAGATGGGGCTTGGAAGGTGCGTCAGGTGGAACGCAGGTATCGGGGGTTTGGAGGAAGAGGAAGAGGAGAGTGAGGGATGCTATGGCAATGGCACAGCAAGAGAGTCTCTTGAGGAACATGTCTATTTCCATATCCATTTTTCTTTCTTCTTCGCCCAAACCTGATGCTTGATGCTTTCGTGATCTACTCATCTCTCAATTTCTCTTCTTCGATTCTGCCTTTGGGAATAGGATTAGTTTTCATTTTCATCAAGGATTGTGACCTTTTTTTTTTTTTCTATATAACTGTGGAGGAAGGATATTATAATTTATAACAACGAAGTTGTATTACTACCATGTTACTATCAATCAATATTACCGTTATATTGATTATATTGATCCCATGGTTATATTTATTTTCATCTTTGTATGATTATAATTCCTCGTATTTAATACTTTATAGTTATTGGATCAATATAATCAATCTAACGGTAATATTGATTGATAGTAACATGGTAATAACACAATTTGGTTGTTACACTATGAGAAATCATAACCATACAAAGGTGAAAATAAATATAAAATATTAAATTTGGAAAATCATGACCATACAAAGATGAAAATTAATATAATCGTTGGATCAATATAATCGATCTAACGATGAGATTGATTGGTAGTAATTTGATAATAACATAACTTGGTTGTTACAATATCCTTCCTCGTGACATATTTTTGTTTTAGAATGAGATAAACTTTTTTTACATGTATTACATTTTTTAAACCTTTTTTTTGTTAACCTAGTTTCTAAACAGCAAAAAAACTTTTTTTTTTTTACATTTAAATAAACTTTAAGTTAAAATAAGTAACTAGTCCTAATAATTTTTATTTTTGTTATTGTTATTATTATGTGTTTAGTGTTTCTTATATTGTAAGATATAAAATTATATATATATATATATGTGGAGGAATCATTTGACTCCAGAGTAAGATTTAAAAGTCTTACTCCTCAAAAAGAAGCTAAAGTTAGGAGATGATGTTTTAAGTAATGATCATTCTTTGGTTCAAAGAGAAGAAGACTGGATGGGGGAGAAGATGTCTTTTAAAGAAATGCTAATGTGGCATAATGGTGAATGGAATATGCATGATGCAGACAAGGAGGAAGGCTCAGAGCAAGAGGAGGATCACTTCCAGGATGCACAAACCGAAACAGAAAAGCCTTCTGAAATCCAGTGTGAAACTGATGAGGAAGGTATGGCTAATTTTAAATTGTCAAATTCTTTTAAAAACAAAGCATGGAGACCATGGAGGAAGGCGATTTTGGTGAAGCTATTGGGGAAAAAATTGGCTCTTCCTCTAACGAAAAAGAGGCTTGAAAATATGTGGGCTCGGGAAGGGCAACTTTTTGTTACTGGTGTGGAGAATGGATTTTTTCTTGTGAGGTTTGCTATTCAGAAAGATATGGATTTTGCCCTCACGGCAGGCTCGTGGGTTTTGTTTGATCACTATCTTGCTATCAGGTCATGGGAACCTAATTTTAATCCCTATTCAAGTTCTATTGGTAGAATCATGGCTTAGGTCAGACTTCCTTGTTTCCCAGTAGAGTATGTGAACACAGATTTGCTCAAGGAGGTAGGTAATTGGCTGGGTAAATTCATAAAGATGGATGCTGCCACAAATTGTTTGGATAGAGGGAAATTCGCGAGAATATGTGTTGAACTGGACTTGAGTAAACCGCTTCAAGCAGAATACAAAATTGGGGGGGACTGAAAAAAGTTGAATACGAGGGACTGCATTTGATTTGTTACGGGTGTGGAGTGTATGGTCATCGCACAGAAAATTGTAATGTGAAGGTTAATACTATTGTTCAGGTAACCGCGGAGCCAAACCTGGAACAGGGCCAAGATGACAATGAAACAAATAAGGAAAATAGGTTTAGACCATGGATGCTGGTGAATAAACAGAGGAGAAATAATATAAGTGGTTTTGATTAGAGGCCGAAGGCAGATTTTTCTAATATGAATTCAAGCAAACAGGGAGATAGGAGGATTGATTTTTCTAAAATTCCTGCACCAAAGCCTCCTGATGCCCGATTAGCTAGTGGAAAGGTATTGGATGGTCATCAAAAAGTGAGTGCACTGCATCGAGTTAGAATGGATAATATTCCAGAGTTTAAGAAGAAACAAGGGTATTCTTTGCATGCCCAATCATCTCAATCTTTTTAATGTCTTTGCTATTTTGGAATTGTAGAGGGGAGGCTAAGTCTAAATTAGGTCGCACCCTTAAACAATTGGTAGATAAACATGATCTGTGTATGATTGTTCTCATGGAAACTAGAACAAGGGGAGATATCAGTAGCAAATTGATGAGAAGAATAGGATTTGATAAGGCTATTGTGGAAGAAGCAATTGGTTTTTCTGGAGGAGTTTGGGTGTTATGGGATTCTAGGAAAGTTAAAGTTCATCTCATAGGGCAATCAAGACAATTTATTCATATGAAAGTGGATATTGGTGACTGCTACAGTTTCTTATGCACAACTGTTTATGCCAATCCTAATGAGGATATAAGACATGCTATGTGGGAGGAAGTTGTTCAAATGAGCCATTCTATTTTTGAGCCTTGGATCTTGGCAGGGGATTTTAATGATATTAGGTGTAGTAGTGAGAAAAAAGGAGGCTCTCCACCTGATATTGCTAAATGCCGTAGATTTCAAGATTTCCTGGACAATTGTAATGTAGAGGATGTTGGTGGTATGGGGAATAAATTCATTTGTAGGCCCCCAAATGGAAACATTTAGACAGAGTTTTTAAGAAGTTGGACAGAGTCTGTGCTAATGTGAATTGGAGAATTTCTTTTGAAGATGCTGAGGTCCAAGCTCTTCCCAGATTCTTATCTGATCATAATCCTATCCTTCTTTCGTTGACAAAACGGCAGCAGTATTGGATTGTTAGGCCTTTCAGATTTTTGGCTACCTGGATGGATCACCCAAACTTTGAGGATCTGATGATGCAGAGATGGAGAGATGAGTCAGATGTTAATAGTATGTTATTTAGATTCATCCCTCATCTGAAGAAGTGGAACAAAGAAGTGTTTGGAGATATTAATGACAGGAAGGGGGTTTTGTTAAAAAAAATTGCTGATGTCCAGGCTCAAAGGGAGTCAATGGACTGTCATAGGTTGCAAGAAATTGAGGAGCATTTGCAGAATCTTCTGAATATAACTCTGGATCAGGAGGAACAAATATGGTTTCAAAAATCTAGACATAAATGGATAGTTGATGGAGACAAGAATACGAGGTTTTATCATCTTAAAACTGTGACTCGAAGGGCGCATAACATAATTTCTAGACTACGTAACAGTATGAATACATGGATTGAAGACCCTCTTGAATTAAAAGAGCATGTCTGTAGCTTCTTTAAAGAGCTTTTTACAGAGGAAGACTCCGATCGCAGATGGTTAGATTCAGAAATCATGTGGCCAAAATTGTCTCAGCAAAATCTTCAAGCTTTGTGGACTATTCCTAATGAGTATAAGATCAGACAGAATCTTTTCTCAATGGGTGCTTATAAAGCCCCTGGTATTGATGGTTACCCAGCCATTTTCTTTCAAAGACAGTGGAATAGGTTAAATGCACAAATTTGTAGTGTTATTAAAAGCATGTGGACAAATCCGAGATCAATAGAGAATGTTAATTCAACCTTGCTGGTTCTTATTCCTAAAACAAAGAAACTTGAGTCCATTGTTCAGTTCTAGCCAATATAGTTATGCTCAGTCATCTACAAGCTGTTTTCGAAAATCATTGTTAGTAGGCTCAAGCATTTGATGGAGAAAATTGTTTCTCCTTTCCAGGTCAGCTTTGTACCGAATAAGCAGATTCAAGACAATATAACTATTATTCAAGAGCTTACTCATTCCATGAACAAAATGAGAGGTAAAAAGGCTTTTATGGCAATTAAAATTGATCTTGTTAAAGCCTATGATAGAGTGAGCTGGCAATTTATGCGTAATACTTTGGAAGAGATTCATTTCCCTACTGCTTGCATTAATATTGTAATGCATTGCTTATCTTCTACCCGTATTAATGTTCTCTGGAATGGGGGGGGGGGGGAACAGAGGATTTATGTCCATCAAGGGCAGTCACGAAGAGAGGCAACATGAGTGTTATGAAAGTCTAGGGTATTGTGCCCTCTTTTCTTTTTATAAGTGTACCCACTTAAACTAACAGTATTAGTTCTAATAGTTCTAGTAATTTTATTTTTTATTTTTTCCAAACTTTATATTCTTAACCTAGACATTTTTATAGGAATTATTATATTTATTTTAATTTTTCGAGACACTTCATCGGTATGCATTTTTACCGCAAAATAGCCGGTATTAGTTCTGAGATAACTGCTTATTATTTTCATCCCAAATTTAGTATTCTTGACCTAGATATTTTTCGAGGAACATTAATATTTTTATCAATATTTTTCTAGTTACTTCGTCGGTATCCATTTATACCGTGAAATACCCAATGTTTGCACTTTCCTTCTGAAAAGTGACTGAATATAATTATTATGATCTTTTTATATTTATCCAAAGTCAATTATGGAATTATTTATTAAAAATCGTATTTAACTTATTAAATTCATAATTTAGCGGTGCAGGTTCTTACACAAGGCATCATCAACAGACTCATTCATGGGCTTGCAATCTCAAGCTGTGTGGGAAAAGCTCGTCGCTTGGCATTAGCCACCACTGTCTATTGCACCTGGATGGCTCAGAACTTGTTGCTTTTTGAGATTTTTTCCCTTATTGAAAAAGATGTAATTGACAAGATTAAATTTCTTGTTTTAAGACACTTGCACTTGATGCATTTGTTCTAGCTGGTTCCTATAGCGGGGTATGCCCCGCCTATTTTATAAATTATTTGGGTTAATACAATTTTACTTTTCCCCAAAAAAAAGGACCCACCTGAATTCAATATGTTGTCCAACCCAAAGTCGACCCGAAATCGGTGAACCAATCATATAATCGGTCTGATTTTCAAATTGGATCGGTCATGTAATGGAATCGGTGCAACACGGCAGATTTTTGTAAAAATATCGGTGATCCGGCCCGGTTCGTAAAAAAATTGGCTTGTCCTCATCAATTGATGTCTTTTTTTTTCACTCTCTCACACAAATTGTTTGTTTTCTTTTGAAATATTTGAGTGATCTGATGATTATTGACTTACATAGGTTATGTACCTAC